TTGTAGGTATGTAAAAATATGAATTGGTTACTATACTTATATGGAAATAATGGTACATTTCTTATTGGCAGAGTTACTCTATGTATATCCACGTATATTCGAAATCATACAAGGTAGCTTTACTCAATAGAACGTTATTCTAATTGACTTGAAATCATACATTTTTCATGAAAGAGAAAATACGGGTTTTGATGCTGATCAAAGTGGGACAAACGGTGTAGACGGAGAGCAGGGTCGGATTATATACCTTGAACCCCTGGACGATTCTTAAGTTTTCCACAGGGTTGGTCATGAAAACATATACACAAAACGCCAACTGTGCCGGAGCAAATCTTGCCGAAAGTATTTATTATCAATTAATAGCCAGGTGCGTTCTTTTCAATATCTACCTTTTTCTTCCGGACACTTAAAAAAAATCACTAGATGTGCATTTCGATGAGTACAACCAGGAAAACTCACTGTGCCGCGTCCGATCCTGCCGAAACCTATGGCACAGGGGGTAGCAAATACGCGTCAACTACCTTTATGCACGACCGGGCGTAAAGTAGCACTTTACCGCCCGGGTTTGCGGGCGTAAAGTGGCACTTTACCACCCGCGGACTACTTTACCGCCCGGCGGGCGATAAAGTCATTGAGCTGGTGGTAAAGCTAATGTCACTGTCATATCGCACCAGCTTACGAATTCTTCGTATACTTTGTCGTATATTTTTTCTGATTTACTTGGCAATAAACTCGATTTTGCTTCCTCAGCTGCCTCACTAATTTCTGGTGGAGTACAATTCACACTTTCTTCATCACTAGAATTCATTTTGAAATCACTAATGAATTATGTATGATTACATAAATTGACAGTTAATATGGCTACTGGCCTATTAATTCCTATTTCGAAAAATTGACTGAGTTGCCATGGTAACGTTGATTCCATACTTCTTGATTAATTGTATTTGCGATATGGATACAATACAGTCTCCTAGGCGTGTTAATAGCCCTCGCTATCGCTCGGTCTATTACTTACACGCTGCGGTCTATAAAAGCCTATTTTACGCCCTTGATACATAAATAACTATTACGCCTTGGACATAAAACCATTAACAGAAATTATAGATGAGGACCGGATGAACACAAAAAAACAACCAGTGCTGGATTTAGGGGGGGCTATGGGACTATAAGCCCCCGGCGGTGAATATAATTGCATGTTTTGTAGGTTTGTAAAAATGTGACTGGAATAAATCGGTATCAATCTATCTATCTAATTGAAAAACAAAGACATAACAACAACCAAAGTCGATGAATCATTTCATATCATTCGAATCATCGATTTTTCAATTCTGGTCAAATTCAGTGAAAATAATAAATTATCTCCTCTTTAGAAACGCAAACTTCCATAAGGAATACTATACAATGTTTCACCTTGAATGGACTTTCAACAATCAAAGCATTATCCTGCATCGCACTCTTTGGTGTTTCCTTCTTGGATGCCTACCCGTTCCAAATATTCACGAACCGTCATTGTATTCCAATAATCAGAATCATAAAAATACTGTCTATTCTTGTTTTTTGTATATAACTGTTTCAGCCAGCAATGATGAATTATTTATATTCATTATTAATACACTGCCGAACATTACATCATTGTCAACAATGACTTCTTGATAAAGATAATTGTTAATCATGGATTTCTAGGTCATGTCATGTGTCAACATCGAAATGTCATATTGTCCACCTGACACAGAACATTTCAATTAAATCGTCTACATCTAAAGCCAATGATCACATGCATCAAGGTATGTTTACACAACACTCTAATGTATGTGACAGAAACACTTGGTTTATTCATAAGACCCCTATTTGCCATTTCAAAAATGCATTATTCGTTCGAGTTTGCACCAACCGTTTCAGGAATAATATTTGAGATGGAAGATTGAAGAATCTGAATTGCTAGAGGAACTAAATTGTGAAAGTTTTTAAAACGAAATAGGAATGAGTCGAAATCCAATAATATCTCGATGAAATAAAAATTCAACAACAATGAAATGACATCAGTTTGCAGTTCCATTATTTTCTATCCGTTTGAACCAAGAATTTTTCTATTGTATTAGGAGAGTTTTGGAGAAAACTTTATAATGAAGCTCAAGGCGTATCGTGTTCTAGCTCATTTGAATACAGGAAGATCGTTCCGTTCAAATTGAATTCGGAACTTTCTTTTCGTTCGATGTATTTTATAGATCAAGAACTTTTTCGGCGTATAAAATTATCTGCCTCGGAGTACGAGAGGATGTCTGCAAACTCGTCAAATTTGATGGGAATCGATTCTCCATAATGCTTTTACAACATATACAGTCAATGAACGCCCAATAAGGGGGTGTAGAGGACATGGAAAATGACCGTTTTTTTTTAGACTAGGTCCAGAAAACACATTAACGTAACTAACGCATGAACATTACATGATTTTGTTGATCGGTTATGTAACAAAAGAGGTAATGAGTTGACTGTGCATAATGTCGTTACCCCCGATACTATCGGGGGTAACGATAATGTCCTCAACACGTTACATCATACGTTACATTAATTCTATGTAATACTACTCACATACCTGTTACATCAATGAGATGTCAATGTGACATCAGAATCCAGATAACAATTACGTCTCACCTATATAATCACGAGGTAACTATTATATACAGGGTCGTGTCTGTAAAAGGTTGGGACATGGCTCGGCTGTGGACTCCTGGTATAAAAACTAGTTGATTTAAACCAACTTACCTATATCCAGAATCGTCTCGTTGAGATGGTACAAGGCGTTGAAGTTTATCTGTAAAAAAATAGTTTCGCTCATAAAAATTGTAGGCTGAGATCGATTTTCATAATTTTTGGCATGGCATGTTCTGTGACGGTTTGAGATGTTTTTGATCATCATCAGTGACCTGCAAGTGTTTCAAACAACCATGTTGCCGTACAAATTTGGTGATAACGCTTCAGAGGTCAGACTGGAAACTTCCAGTTTTTTTCCAGAAAGAACAAAAGTGCTGGTCCTGATGGTATTCCACCAGTTCTACTCAAACAGTGTTGTCGGGAACTATCTCTACCTATAGAATTGATTTCTCAAAAATCATTTGATGATGGAATATTCCCAACCATGTGGAAGACCTCGCACCTATCACCCATATTCAAGTCTGGTTGTAAGAATAATATTGAAAATTAAAGAGGTATATCAAAAATTTCGTGTATTCCGAAAGTATTTGAATCAATTTCAACTGATGAAATTTTTTCAAATTTCAAGCATATCATTATCCATGAACAACATGGTTTCCTCAAAGGTCGCTCTACAGCAACTAACTTGGGAATTTTTCAGAATTTCTTATGTAACAAACTTTAACAAGGGTTGCAGGTTGATGTTATCTTCACCGATCTTGCTAAGGCCTTTGACTCAGTTGATCACACGCTACTGATTTACAAATTAGAATTACTTGGTGTGGTTGGTAGTTATTTGAAACTCATTTCATCTCATTTGAATAATCGTATTCAATATGTGAGAATTGTTGATTCACTATCTTAAATGATAAATTTTACTTTTGGTGTGCCTCAAGGATCTCACATAGGCCCAATACTTTTTTTGTGTTTCAATAATGATGTTGGCACAATCTTTCAGAGCTGTAATGTTTTACTCTATGCAGATGACTTGAAATTCTTCAGGCGAGTTTCGTCCGAACAAGATTGTAATGTAATCCAAAATGAATTGGTTGAATTCACCAAATACTGTGAACTTGATTTATTGAAAATTAATGTAAATTAGTGTAGTATTATGCGTTTTTATAAAGTACATGTACCAACTATATCTAACTATTCAATTAATGATGTTGATTTGCAAGAGGTATCTTGTATCAGTGGTTTAGGGGTAATTTTTGACAAAGAACTCACTTTCAACGACCATATTAATAGTATTCGTAACGAATATCTGAGAATGGCAGGATTCATAAAGAGACAAGCTAAAAATATTTCTGACCTAGATGCAATCAAGACTTTATACATATCACTGGTGCCGAGTATTTTGGAATATAATAGTATAATTTGGTCACCAGCATATAATTGTCAAGAGCAGCGGTTGGAGGGAGTCCAGGGAAGGTTCACAAATTCCCTTGTTTGGAAACATAGGCTATCTTTTCATGGATTTGATTCTTCGACAAGACCCACATTATTTGATCTTCAAACTTTGGAAACACGGAGAATGTTAGGTATGGCTCACTTTCTTTTCAAGATTGTGAATGGTGTTATCAATTGCCCTCAAGTAATGGAATGTTTGTCAAGAAATCGTCAAACCTTTTATGTTAGAACTCATCGTACTAACTATAACCGTTCTGAATTTTGTTGCAGGCTTCAACAGAATTATAATGAAAATTTCCCATTAGTCAATATGTTTGTTATACCTTTTAATGAGTTTAAGAAGCAACTGAAATCACTGTTGAAATTTTATTTGTCTTGAATCTCTGTTTTGTTTTACCATGTTATAGTTTAGTCTTCATTGTTGTTTATGCATGTTTTTTATTATTGTCATTTGTATTTTCACTTTTAGCGTACCATTTGGAATTTGTATTCAATTCTGTAGTGTACTAGATGAAATAAATCAATGACTTATGAGACACCCTGAATATGATTCTTTCAGATTTACTTCCTACTATGAATTGAAGTGAATACATCACTATAATATAATTATTATAAATACTCAGTGAATATTATATTTTATGATACTAATATGAACTAGGAATGAAGTTTCTATCACCTAATGAATGAAACAACAAAATTATAGTAAAAATATCCCCTCTATTTTTTTCTGTGTTTACGGTATTCATTTCCCTGTTTACTATAATTCAGTGAGTTGGAGTGAACCACTCTGGCTAGTGGCTAGTGGTATTTGCTCGGTAATCAAAATGGCCCCATTGTTCGTTGAAATCCTTGGTAATGCTCTTCCGTCCGCGATGATAAATGCAAGCTTCTATACTCACATGTCTTATTGTCTTTCTCTCGTTCGCCAACCTATGATCCATCATTTGTATTGTCCAAGGATAAGGCCCGCATATCACGATTTCCCGAAGAATTTTTTGTCAATCAATGTTAACGAGGCTTTCTTTGTCTGTGGTAATGGGCCATAATAAAGCGAGCTATCGATTTTGTGCCAGCGAATGATTATGAGAGATAAAAGATGAAGGAATGTGAGCGGGGAAACACTGGAAAGCTGGAAAGCTAAAAACAGGATGTTAAGGAAAAAAAAACGTTCTTCCACCACAAGCTAAAAAACCTACTATTGAAATATAAAATTTTTCTATGCCCAAAGTGTGTTCTTCAAACCAATGTAGTTTTTCTCATTTTAGGAACTACTACACATTTTCCAGTTCCCACGAAAAGGGATATCCTGTAATGTTCATAGAACATCATGAGAACCAAGGAAAATGAGGTAGGAATTGGTGTTCTTGAATTTCTGGAGGTTATATGCCTCGGGGAACACCTCCCTTGGCAATGTGTACCAGAGCTTAGCTGTTCGTTGGATGAACGAGTCTTTGGAAAGAGATGTTCTGTAAGTCTCCAAAATGACCACGAAGGGGTGCGAAGCCTCAACTTAACGGGCTAATCTCGCGGGGACTCCCAAGGGAAGAACAATTGTTGATATTTCAGAAGACAATTAAATGTCGGTAGATAGTTAATCAAAAGTTGATATAGGGACATGTAAGCCGTTTTGACCAATGATGAATAGTTTCGACACAAAAAAATCCTAAAGTTGAAAAATCTCGATTTTGAACACCCTATATCTCTGTAATAATTCCTGCTAGACCCCAAGTGTGATACATTGATGAAATCAGCTCTTCGAGAAGAATCTAAAAACACAATAAAATACAGGGTATTCTATTTGAAATAACAAAGATGATGCTACTTTTTGGTAAAAGTGGCAACGCTGCTTCGCTGAAAATATTTTGAATCGTTAGATCACAAACGCTTATTAGAGTAACCAAATTTTCAGGATAATCCAATGTACCGTTTTCCGTATACGTCTAAGGTACCATCGACCGTGGGCCACCCTGTATAGCAATTTCACATATCTTCGTTATGGAGGGTCGAAAAATGTTCATATATATACATCAACTCGTTTTGATTTCCCCTATTAACCATTTGACTATGTGAGTCTTCTCATGAAACACCCTGTATATAAGTTTAGGCAAGCCAAGGTTAGTTTATTTCATTGTACCAGTATTTCAGCTGAAGAAGCTACTGTGTTAGCGAAACATGTCGTGTGACTAAGAATTTTGTGAAAATCTCATCGTTCGTGAAGTTCCCAAGTTTCTACATTTTTTATAACGAAAACAATTGAATGTTTGAAATTTGTATTCGTGTTTTGTGATTCGAACTACATATTCGTGGTCGTACGAAAAATAGTGTACCAAACTCGTTGGAAAGTGTATTTCATGCACTCGTTACATTTCCATACTCGCTGCTACGCGGCGTCGTGCTAAATATCCCTAGTGCAAAATATGTCACTTTCCACACTAGTGATGTAATACGCTATTTACAACTCTTGTTATGTAATATTCAATTTTCACAACTGTCAAAAATAAAACAGTTATAAGGTGTGGTTCTTCATAACGTGTCACCCGGTACCTACATGGAATTGTATACAACTGACAATTTCCTTCGAGAGCATTCCCAATCGATTCTGCGAATCCATGCATTTTCGCCGTCTCCTCGAAAGTGTTCCGGCAGTTTCCAGATAAAAAATGCGCACCGTCTGACGTCTAATGGGAAAATTAATGGAGTCGGAAAACGTGGGAAATAATCCACGAGGCCTATTTGGCTGCTCAACCATAAATCTTCATTTGAATCTTGCCAAGATTGGAGTAGGTATTTATTTTCGTCTTGTAATTTAATGATTTCCATCACAGTGTATCGATTTCTGGAAAAAGTGTTCTAGCAGTAGCGTGAAAACGCTATATGTGAAGGGAACACTTTTGATACCAAAATTCGAAATTAAAGATTTTTCTACGACGAGAACTACGAGAAGGTTATGCTACTTAGAGTGCCTTAATGAATTTGATAGTAGGAGAGCATACGATACAAAAACAAGTTCGAGAAGAATCCCAGATGATATTCATATGATTAGTCACATCAGATCGTGATTATTGTTTATCAGCTCATCACTCACATGGTCTATTCCAATTATATTCTTCTCTATATCTCTGTCTTCTCTACACTACACTGTTTTACCACTAACCAAACCGATTTTTTAACGCCTCGACACATAGTTAGCGAAACACGTGTCGAGGCGTTAAAAAATCGGTTTGGTTAGTGGTAAAACAGTGTAGTGTATTATCGGGCCAAAGGTTCCAGATATCAATCAACGGTTCCAGTCTTCGATATATCTGTCTTCTCTCTTTCTCCTCTCTTTCTTGTTTTCTTTCGCCCTATTTACTTTTATTTTTCAATTCACGGCTTTGGTGGAAGATCAGATGCGAATCATTCCCAATCTGAACCAAAAGCCCTGTGCTCACCATATATCGGGTGGCTACGAAAGTATTGCCTACGGAATATCTCAGTTATTGTATGAAGTAGGTTTGTGAAATTTGGAGCGTCGATATAATGAGATGAGAGCTAGAATTTGAGCATATTGACATGTCGAAGTTCACTTCCTGTCTGACCGAAAGTAACATCAACTCTCTCATTTTAAATGGAAACCCTATTTTTTTTCTTTTCGCTTCATTCAGTATTCAATTCCCTTTCTAATGACATATCACAAGTTGGTATCTAACCTGAAACTAGATCAGAAAAAAATTATTATTGAAATTCACCGAGTAGGCCGTGGATGCAAAATGAAAACCAAAAAATGACTTTCTATTATATCATTAGAAAGGAAAGGTTATGCTGAATAGTACAGGCAAGAAAAAGTTCCTATTCAAGTTATGGACCTACAGAGTATTGTTTTTTTCTCAATTTTTCCAATATTTTTTTGCGGCTTTTTATAACGCCGACGAATGAAAATAAAATATCACAGTAGTAGCAACTGTTATCAAGTGACGTATGGTTTCCATAGCCAACTTTGCAATTTCTGGCTTTCATTTTGCTTCCACGGCCTACTCGGTGAATTTCAATAATAATTTTTTCCTGATCTACTTTATGGTTAGATACCAACTTGTGATATGTCATTAGAAAGGGAATTGAATGCTGAATAAAGCGAAAAGAAAACAAAATAGGGTTCCCATTCAAAATAAGAAAGTTGATGTTACTTCCGGTCAGACCAAAAATTAACTTCGACATGTCAATATGCTCAAATTCTAGCTCTTATGTCATTATTTCGACGCTCCAAATTTCACAAACTTACTTCATACAATAACTGAGATATTCCGTAGGCAATACTTCCGTAGCCACCCGGTATGTGAATAAATAATATACCACTGTATCCTGAAATATATACACATTTATTTGGTGTTCAATAAATGTATTATTATTATTATTATTATTCTTATTAATAGGGGAACACGAAATGGCTATGCTGCAATGCAAACGTCACCCATTACGTCACCCATTGTGAAAGATTAGGGAATCTCTAGATGTGGCGTCGTTGGATGTATCGAAAACATTCGACCAGGTTTGGCACCAGGAACTCCTCCGCATACTAACATCATACGGCTTACCACCTCGTCGATGCCATCTTTATCGAGTTTTCTTTAAGGCAGATCGCTCCATGTACTGGTGTAATGAATATCGTCTGATACTACAACCATCAATTCTGGCGTTACACAGGAATAGATTCTGGCACCATAAGAAAAAATATTGCTCTGAAACTGCTAAAACTTCTGCCTGGGGAACCAACAATCTAGTTGAATTCAACACTACCAAAACTCAAGTCTGTATTTCCTTCAGAAAGGTGGAGCTCAGTATGCCTGATATCTCAATGTCTGGCACCACCATTCCCTATTATCCATTCTCGGTATTTCCATAAGCAATACTCTTTCATGGAAAAATCATGTCAGACTCATCGCAAAAGCTGCTTCACATGAACTGGGATTTTTATTCCGTCCGAAAATCTATACCTCACATTCCAAGAGATTCTCATGATCTACGAAGCACAGCTACGGCCTGTTCTAGAATACTGTTTTTCTACTACTGCTATGAGAAGTGGCGCATTTCTCATAGCTTACTTAGTTCGGAACCATGTATTGCTCATACTGTGAGAAATATTTTTTCTCACGGCACTTTGCCAACACCACATACATTTCCATGGAGAATCAAGAAAAATCGACCAAAGCTTAATTGGCTGCTGCTCAGCTTTGAATAGTTGTCACAACTGTCAGAAGACGTATTTTGAACTCTTAAGAAAAGTTTTAATTAGTGCTTTTGATAGAAGTTTCCATCAAATATTATTCCAACAATTCATACCGCCGAGACAGAGATAATGGATAATATTTTGTTTCCGGAAACTGAAAAAAATACAGAAATCTTTTTCGAAAAGTGTACTTTTTTGAAATACTTTGAGGAACTAGGATATGCGTCTACTCTTTGGTCACAATATTCAATGTGCCACATTATGAAATGAATACCAATAAGTTACTTTACTTGGATTCTTCAGATAAGTGCAGTTGTAGAAAAAGTATAGTGTGCAACATGAGGGGAAAAGTACTTTTCACAACTTTCACAATCGTGACAAAAGTTGAACTTTTCCCACTTGTTGCACAATATACTATTTCACATATGGGTTTCAGCACCCCAACATACGCGGATGCTCTTGGATTTCATCCAGAGAAGAGCTATTCGCCTGGTGGGTGATGCTACACTCACTAATTCTTTTACATCATTAGAATACCGTAGGAAAGGATAGATACTTCCACGGAAATTATTCTTCAGAAATCAGTCCATCACTAGTGAAACCAATCAGACGTACTTGAAGGTCCAGTCAGCATATCCTCTCGTCGTCAACATTGAAATATATCGAATAACTCTGCCAGAATTCGTTTGTCTATAAAACGGCAGAGCTTCGTGATTCTTAGCCAGAAGGAATTTATCTCCGGAAGTTGAAAAAAAATTCCAACACCTATCTCTTCTCCCTAACCTCCCTTGGTACGCACGTTGTTTTCCCAATATTATCG